GCACCCGTATGGATCGCACGGGCTCCATAGTACCCACTTTTCCAAGGGCTACTTATTACGTCCAACGGGCCTCTTGGGAAGAAGCCTGCGACCCCAGCGAACGCGGCAAATACGCCTACCGTACAGACAATTTCATGCCCATCGCGGAACGTGGTCAACTGGAGTTGCTGGACGGAGATACCGAGATATTTCCGGGTCTTCAGGTTATTCAGTGCGACGGTCCTGCCAAGGGTCACCAGATGGTGCTCTTCAACCATGGTGGCGAGCGCCTGGTAATCCTGGGAGACCTGGTCCCGACCCCCTTCCATCTTAACTTGCCGGTGATCTCAGCCTTCGATTATTCTCCCCAGAACACCCTGGAGCAAAAACGGGAAGTCTTGCAGGACGCCGAGCGCTATGGCTGGCTGCTGGGCTTCTCCCACGGCCACGACGTCAAGAGCGGGTACTTGGAGCGGCGGGGCGAGATGGTTTACGTAACTCCGGTCGATTTGACCATAAAGAGCAGGAATTAATAGCGGCAATTATCCTTCTACCACAAGTACTGATATTAAAATGTACGGCCCCGGAGAAGCTCCGGGGCCGTACCATTATCGACTATCAAGGTCCTTCCACTATTTAGCCTGGTCAGTCCACCTCTTGTCCATTCAGTATGCAACGCCAAAGGCCTGTTTGACTCAAGCAGGCCTCGCCAAGACTACACTCCCTGACAATTCTTTCAAATGAGCCCAACCGATTGTATTGCCCATCTTATGCGAAATGTTTGGGGATTCATTTGGCAGCAATTCCACCCTGATGTAGTTGTCAGTTAGGCCCAGTAGCCGTCTACCATCGCTCGAACCACGCATTCCTTCCCAAAGTACCGGGCGCTCTGTTCCCAACTGTTTCAGCCTGAAGTTATCGAAGGACTGCCGGCCCACTTCGATGGCATGTGCCGTCCTCTCTTTCTTTGTTGGTTCGGAAACCTGACCCGGCAGGTAGACTGGCTGAGGTTCCCGGTCTCTTTGAGTACGGAAAGACGTGAATATCGCTGAATGCCATCGTCTCGACAAAGGCCAGGGTTTCCTCGAACTGCTTATCGCTTTCCCCTGGGAATCCTGTAATTAAATCTGCGGTAATCGCCACTCCGGGAATGGCCTGCCTCACTAGGGAGACTGTGTCGGCGAATTGCCTGGTTGTATACCGGCGCCGCATTGCCTTCAGTGTCTGATTGCTTTGCAAAGGTATGTAGTTATGTGAAAGTGGGGGCATAAACGGGGGTCATCCATCCACACTGGAGCAGGTCGGAATCAATTTCCTGGGGTTGCAGCGAGGACACCCTTAAGTGGTCAATGTCCGTCTCAGTAAGTATCTGGCCAATCAACCGCTTCAGGTCTGTTCCCGGTATTTCAAAGCCATACGTTCCGAGTTGGGAACCGGTTAATGCAATTTCCCGGCAGCCCTCATCTATTCGTAACCTGACCTGGCGCACGATTTCCTGGGGAGGAATGCTTCGCTCTCGTCCGCGCACTTTGGGAACAATGCAATAAGCGCAAACCTGATCGCACCCTTCCTGGATTTTCACCATGCCCCGGCTTCGTCCGGGAAGGTTACCCGAGACACTCTCCTCGATGTTTGGCCCGGCAACGGAATCCGTTGTTCCCAGTGGGTGCCCGGCTTCTCCCGGTGAGCGGCAATGGCAAGAGATACTAACTGGTTCTTTTTCTCGTTGCTAACGACAAGCGATACTGCAGGCATAAGGGCCAATTCCTGGGCGGCCCGCTGTGGATAACAACCCGCTGCTACTACCACAGCGTCGGGGTTCGCCGCCGGGCAGCGCGCAAGGCCTGACGGGCCTTGGAATCAGCCGTGGCCGTTACGGTGCAGGTGTTCAGCACATAAATGTCGGCTTCCCCAACATGTTCCACCACGCTATATCCTGCTTGCCGAAATTGCCGTGCCAGAACACTGCTGTCGGCCTGGTTGAGCTTGCAGCCGTGCGTCTGGATGACAACCTTACCGGCCAGGCCGATTGTTGGGATGGCGTTATTGGATGAGGAGATATCGGTGAGGTCGAACTGTGGCGACCTGGTTGTGAATATAGAATCAGTTGTCATGTTCTTGTGACGCTAGGTTGGAGTCCACCATGTCCCAAAGTGTTTCTATTGCTCCCGCTGATATCATCCAGGGCGCGAAATACGCCCTCAACCCGACGGCGGGTTTCCCTGGCCCGTTCCAGGGCATCACTAAGGGTGGTCAGTTGCTCGAATGCTTCCCTTACCCGGCGGTCCCGAACGTCGCCGCCTAATTGGTGAGCATAGGCCTTTACCGCCGCATCGTCGTCCACAGTGTCGCCGCGACTGAGGGCAGCGCCCTTTACTGCCAGGGAAAGGCTCCCCCAAAGCAACTCTTCGGACCGATTCCAGCGACCTCCCCGCATCTCTGACATGGCGCTGTCGAGAAGGCGAAGGCTTTGGCTCCGGTATCGGGTATTCTGGCTACATCGATATGTATCGTCATTGGATATGTGAGACTTTTGGAACCTTAATTGAACGGGTCTCAATATTCTAGCATAGCTATTTGGAGCTATATTCTGCAGCCTTACGGAAGGGTCCGGCCAAGGTCTTGGAGTCGAAATGGAGCGCTTATCAGCCTACTACCGCTTCTAAACCGTGGGCGTGTCCTGGTAAACGGGGTCGCAGATTGGAGCATTGGTACTCAATTACCACCCATCTCAATAATGACCGAACCGCCTGCGCTGTTGGCCCGCAGCGCATCATGCAGGGCCGGACCTAATTCACGGCGGTCGTCCAGCTTCAGTCCTAGCGCGCCGTAAACCTGGGCCAATTGAGCGAAGTCGGGATTGTGCAGTTCCGTGCCGATCGTGCGCCCCTGGTAGCGATTCATCTGGTCCGCCCTGGAGGCTCCCAGCAAGCCATTGTTAAAAACCAGCGTTACGACGTTAATTCCCTCCTGCACAGCCGTCGAGAGTTCGCTGCTGGCATACATAAATCCACCGTCACCTATGGTGGCCACCACCTGGCGGTTTGGGTTGCCCACCTTGGCGCCCAGTGCTGTGGGAAAGGCGTAGCCCAACGTGGCAAAATAGCTGGAGGTCAAATAGGACCGGGGCTTAAGCACGGGGAAAGCAAGGTGACCCCAGTAGGCGACTTCGGTAGTCCCGGCGACCATTATGGCGTCATCCGCCAGTTCCTCTCGCATTGTTTCAATGATTTCTACCTGGAGCGGGGCCAGTCTCCGGAGATCCTCTGCAGCCTGTCGCCGAATCTCTACCATCTCTCCGTTGTTCCACTGACTGGCTTTGGTAGAGCCGCCAAGTTCGGCAAGCAACTCGTTGACTCCCTGTTTCGCGTCCGCCACCATGCCCACTTGGGGCTCAACGTTCCGTCCCAGTTCTTCCGGGTCGGCGTCGATCTGGATAACAGTCTGTCCGGAGTGGAGAGACCAGGGGGTTCGGGGGTTCATGTTCATTCGGCTGCCAATCGCCAGGATGACATCGGCCTGGGGCAAAGAATAATAGGCGGGGCCGTGCCCATAGTAGAAGGTACCCAAGGACAGTGGGTGGTTTTCGGCGATGGCTCCCTTTCCTTCTGGAGTAGTTATTACCGGGGCGTTTAGCGCCTCGGCAAGGTCTGCCAGCTCCGTAGTAATATCAGCTTCCCTGCATCCGCCGCCCGCCCAGATTAAGGGTCGCTCTGCCCTGGCCAGCAACTCCGCGGCTTGTTTCACCTTGGCAGGATCCGGGGCCTGCTTTACAGTGCCCTCTCGCTCCAGCAATTCCATGTCTGCGGATGCCGGCAAAACGTCAAAGGGAATCTCTATCTCAACGGGCCTGGGTCGGCCGTCAAGAGTATGCTGCACGGCCATGTGCACCAGGCGAGGAATTTCTTCCGGTTTGGTGGTCCGGGCGTTCCACTTGGTTATGGGCTTAAAGACGTCCAGTTGGTCGTTTACTTCGTGGAGAGCGCCCTTGCGCTGGCCCAGGCTGTTACTGTCAATCTGACCCGAAACCAGCAGTACCGGAGAAGATGCGGCGAAGGCCGTTCCGATGGCGGCGGCGGCATTCAATGCCCCGGGGCCCGGCACTACCAGGGCTACACCCACCCGGCCTGTCGTTCGGGCATAACCGTCCGCCATGTATCCCGCTGACTGCTCGTGGCGAACCGTTATGAGCCGGATGCCGGGTTGATCGTAAAAGGCGTTATAGGCTTCCATAATTTGAACCCCGGGCAAGCCAAAGACGACCTCCACTCCCTCTCGTACCAGGGATTGTATCAAGGCCTGTGCGCCGGTCATGTTTGGCATTTCCCACCTCTTCAAGCGTTGAACGGTCATAGCTCTGAACCGATTTCAGATATGATGCTGAACCTGACAGTGGGTGTCAATGGGTGTAGGTAACGGGAATATGCACCTAATTGGCGGAATGCCGTTCTGGCAAGAGGTCTGCAGCTATTCCTGGCATACACCACTGTTAGCGTTTGTGGTATAACATTGGCAGTTCCAGCAACCGTCTGGAATGGAGAGCGAGGAAGAGGCATGAAATACGACGTCATCATGATTGGAGCCGGCGCTGCCGGCTGTGTGCTGGCGGCCCGTCTGTCCGAGGACCCGGACCGGTCCGTGCTATTGCTGGAAGCCGGGCCAGATTATCCGGATTTTGACCAGTTGCCCCTGGATTTGAAGGAAGGCAACAATATGTGGCGTTCGGCCTACGGCCCCCATAACTGGGGCTACACGGCCACCGGTACTCCGTTGATGGCCGAACAGGTGCAGATTCCCCGTGGCCGGGCCATTGGCGGTTCCACTTCCATAAACGGGCAGGTGCTTTTTCGCGGAGTTCCCGGCGATTACGACAACTGGGCGGCCTGGGGCAATAATGAATGGGAGTACCTCAAGGTGCTTCCCTATTTCCGCAAGCTGGAAACGGATTTGGACTTTCCGGGTGACGATTTTCACGGAAGCAGTGGTCCAATTCCGGTACGGCGCTACAAGCGAGAAGAGTGGCTTCCCCATGCGACTTCTTTCTATGATGCCTGCGCCGACTTGGGTTTCCGCCAGGACCCCGACCAGAATCATCCGGATTCCAGTGGCATTGCTGCAAGGCCCCTGAACAACATCGACGGCGTTCGGATGAGCACTGCCATAACCTACCTTAACCCGGTACGTAATCGGCTCAACCTGACGGTTCGCGGCAATGTCACGGCGCGGAGAGTCGTCTTTGAGGGCAGGCGCGCCGTTGGTGTAGAGGCCGAAAGCGGGGGAGATACCTTTGTACTGGAAGGCGAGCAGATAATTGTCAGCAGTGGCGCCATTGCCTCCCCGCAAATTCTGTTGCTTTCGGGTGTCGGGCCCGCCGACCATCTCCAGGAAATGGGAATAGAACTGGTGCATGAATTGCCCGGAATAGGACAGAACCTCCGGGACCATCCGTCCTGCTTTACCCTTTTCAAGGGTAAGGGCGAAGCTCCCGACGATTTGGCCCCCAGCATTCAGGTGGGCCTGCGCTTCAGCCTGGAGGGTTCGCCCACTACCGCTGATATCCAGTTGGCGCCCATATTGATGAATAGTGAACACCGCCCGGCCAACGTTACCATAGAAGCTGACGGCTTCCATTTCGGTTTTAGCGCGGCCATCCAGAATGCGGTGAGCGCAGGACATTTGCGGCTGGCTTCAACAGATCCCAAGGTCCAGCCGGTTTTGAACTACGACTACCTTTCCAGCCCTTACGATCGGGAACGAATGCGGGGAGCGATACGCACCGGCCTGCGAATTGCCGAGCATCCTATGTTCGCCGACATCATAGTCGAGCGGTTGAACCCCACCGACGCAGACCTGGAATCTGACGAAGCCCTGGACAACTGGATGCTGCGAAACGTAGGCACCCAGCATCATTCTTCGGGAACCTGCAAAATGGGACCGGTCGACGATCCTCTGGCTGTGGTGGACCAGTATTGCCGGGTCCATGGTATGGAAGGCTTGAGGATAGTGGACGCCTCAGTGATGCCCGACGTAATCCGGGCCAACACCAATGCCACCACGATTATGATCGGTGAGAGAGTGGCCGACTGGATTAGGGAAGGGAAATAGCCACTACTTCTGCATGTCGGCGCTATAGAAAAAACAAACCAAGAGGATGGTTGTGCAGCAATGACTACGAGCAACTCAAACGTAAGAATTGAGCGGGACTCGATGGGCCAGATGGAAGTGCCCGCGGACGCCCTTTACGGGGCATCCACCATGCGTGCGGTCCTTAACTTCCCCATCAGCGACCTGCGCTTCCCCCTCACCTTTATCCGGGCCCTTGGCTTGATAAAGCAGTCTGCGGCCAAGACCAACATGTCTCTAGGGGCGCTTGATGAGTCTCTCGGCGCAGCAATTGTCGAAGCTGCCCAAGAGGTGATTGAAGGCAAGTTCGACGGCCATTTTGTTCTGGACGTCTTCCAGACGGGCTCAGGAACTTCCACCAACACCAACGCCAACGAGGTAATCGCCAACCGGGCCTCCCAGATTATGGGAGGAGATTTGGGGTCTAGACTGGTTCATCCCAACGACCATGTCAATTTGGGCCAGTCTTCCAACGACGTCATTCCCACGGCGATGCACCTTGCGGCGCTGCTGGCCATCAAAGAGGATCTGATTCCCGGCCTCGAGTTCTTGCGGGACGAATTACAGAAGAAGTCTGATGAGTTTTGGCCGGTGATCAAGACCGGGCGCACCCATCTTCAGGACGCTACGCCTGTCCGGTTGGGACAGGAATTCCTGGGTTATGCGGGGCAGGCCGAAAACGGCATCCGCAGACTTCGCCGGGCCCAAGATGCTCTGGCGGAAGTGGCTCTTGGCGGCACAGCCGTAGGGACCGGAGTAAACACTCACCCCGAGTTTTCGGCCCGCACCTGCCAGACTCTAAGCGAGGTTGCCGGCGTAAGTGTCCGTGAAACCGACAATCACTTTCAGGCCCAGTCCACCCTAGATGCGGTGGTGGAGGCCAGCGGGGAACTAAAGACCATTGCCGTCAGCCTGCATAAGATTGCCAACGACATCCGGTTCATTGCCTGTGGGCCGAGGGCTGGCCTTGGTGAAATTACCCGTCCCCGAGGTGCAGCCGGGTAGTTCAATTATGCCGGGCAAGGTGAACCCGGTCATCGCGGAGTCGGTAATACAGGTGGCCGCCCAGGTTGTCGGCAACGACGCCACCATCACCCTGGCCGGTCAGGGCGGATACTTTGAACTCAATACCATGATGCCGGTGGCCGCCTACAACATCCTGCAGTCTATATCCTTGCTGGCAGCTTCGGCCAACAACTTCGCCGAGCAATGCGTCAAGGGAATCGAGGCCACCGATGTGGGCCCCGCCATGGTAGAGAAGGGATTAATGCTGGGCACGGCCCTTGCTCCGGCCATTGGCTACGATGCCGCCGCCGCTATTTGCTAAGGAAGCAGCTTCAACCGGGCAGACTATTCGGGAGGTTGCAAAGCTGCGTACCGAAATCAGCGACGAAGAACTTGGTTCGCTGCTGAATCCCGAAGAAATGACCAAACCAAGCCTGGAAGTACGTGGCGGCGGGGGTTAGTCGCTACCTGTTTAACTTGGGCGGCAGACCGTGCAGGCTTTGTCGAAGAAGACAATCCAAATTGAAAGAAGTCTTGGCAAATGAATTTAATTTAGGAGGGGAAATAATGGCACTGGTAAGATGCGTTACGGAAATGGGAATGGGTGTGGACGTTCATGGACTAGACTACACTAACGCCGCCAAGCGGGCCGTATTTGATGCCCTGCACCATAGCAGCTTGGGTTTTCAGAGGCTCATCGGCAAGACGGCCGACGATATGCGGGTTGACGTTACCATTGGCGTCCCCGAACCCGGTGCGGTCGATGGCGATGCGGTAATCGCTACACTGCCCCATGGGACGGGCCACATAAACGTCGTACAAGGTGGGCTGCAAGTTCTTAACGATGAGGGTACCGATGGGACCCTGATTGCCAACGCCATAGTTATCGTGAGCTTCGACGACGGCAACTAAAGAAAGTCCTTGACGAGGACGGCGAAAAACTACGGGCCCCGGTCATTGACCGGGGCCCGTCTATTGAATTCCGATCTCGGGTCAGGCTCGGATAGCCTGTCCGAAACTTACTCGCCTTCTGGTGCTCGGGTACCAAACACCTTCTGGCCTTTAACAAAAATGCACCTTCGGATGTTGTTTTCCAGTTCCGTAGGGTCTGCCACCGCTGGGTAGCGCAGGCGTGCTTCCGGCGTGCGCAGGTAATCATAAACCTTCCCCAGCACTTCATCCTCCGAATCCCCGGTTATTATCGTCTTGTCCCGAGAGTCGGACAAGAAATTACTCGGCCTCACGTAGTAGACATCTGGCATAACTCCTCCTCCATTATCAACCAGAATTTTCGGCGCCATCGCCGGCTCATCACTTGCTGTGGAAAATTTGTACACTAAAGGGCGCTCGGTTGTCAATGCTGCCTGAATCTATGCACCGAATAATCCTGCAAATCCACAAACCTATTCATCTTGAGGCGGCTTGCCCCAACCACCTCCACCTGGGGTACGGATACTTAATATGTCGCCCACCTCCACGTCCAGTGTTTCCTTGCCGGCCAGATGGACCTCCTCGTATCCACCCTTCATCAGCACATTCTCTCCCAGATGGCCGTGGTGCCCCCCATGGAAGCCCGGGGGGTGAAACTTGCGCCGTTCCGATAGTATGGTGACCCGGGCAGGGCTGAGAAATTCCACGTCCCGTACCAGTCCATCGCCTCCCTTGTGAAGCCCGTCTCCTCCGGAACCCCGTCTAAGGGCATAACGCTTCAGCCTCAGGGGGAACGCAAACTCCAGCGCTTCTATCGGAGTATTCATGGTGTTGGTCATGTGGGTGTGGATTCCTGAAATGCCGTCCTTGGTAGGCCTGGCCCCCATGCCACCTCCAATGGTCTCGTAGTAAACGAATGGGCGCCCCCTATCCAGGTCGTGGCCTCCAATGAGCAAATTGTTCATCGTTCCCTGGCTGGCCGCTGGGATCAACTCAGGCAACGCTTGGGCCATGGCCGTCAAGAGGACGTCGGTAATACGTTGGGAGGTCTCCACATTGCCTCCGGCCACGCCATGCTGCGGCTCCGGGTTCACCAGCGTACCTCTGGGTGTGATTATTGTCACGGGTCTGAGGCAGCCTTGGTTAGCCGGCGCTTCATCCCCCACAACGCATCTGACCATGTAGAGACTGGCGGAAACAGTTACCGCTTGGGGAGCGTTAATGCAACCGGGGCACTGTGAAGAAGTCCCAGTGAAATCGATGGTCATTGTGTCGCCGAATATAGTGATAGCCACCGCTATAGGCACAGGTTCTTCGGTTAGCCCGTCGTCGTCCATGTAATCCAGCACCCGGTAGATTCCGTCGGGGATCCTGCTAATGGCGTTACGGGTTACCCGCTCGGAATAGTCAAGCAGGGCAGCCATGTGCTCACGGGCTTCTTCGACCCCGTACCGTTCTACGACTTCCTGGAGCCGCCTTTCACCGACCCGGACCGAAGCTATTTGAGCGGCCAGGTCCCCTTTTCGCTCCTCCGGTGTGCGGGAATTGCGACAAATGATCTGCACTACTTCCTGGTTTAGTCGACCGCCTCGGGCCAGCTTAATTGGCGGCAGTATCAACCCTTCTTGATAGAGTTCCGTAGAAAGCGGCAACGAGCCGGGAGTCATGCCTCCCACGTCGGCGTGGTGACCCCGGTTGGAAACGAAGCCGACCAGTTCCTTCCCCCCCCGCAGGTCTACAAACACGGGCGCCACCAGGGTGATGTCCGGCAAGTGGGTGCCTCCAAGATAGGGATCGTTGAGTATGACCATATCGCCGGGTCTCAGTGAACCGGGGTACGTCTCCAGGGCGGCCTGCACCGACGCCGGCATGGCGCCAAGGTGGACAGGTTGGTGCGCTGCCTGGGCGACCATCTGGCCGGATGGATCAAAGATGGCGCAAGAGAAGTCACGTCGTTCCTTGATGTTGGGCGAGTAAGCGGTCCGTAGCAGGGCTACGCCCATCTCTTCCGATACCGAGATGAACATGTTCTTGAAAACTTCCAGGCTTATGGGGTCAACTGCCATTCTTTCTCCCCTTCTTGAGTTACCGGAAATGAAGGCACTAGCCTGAATCGTAGGCTCTTTATTCAACCCGCGCTTTACGGAATAGAGCCTAGAGACTGGCGAGCAAATCGTCCTTTTCGGATTTATCCTCAGGCAAAACCAGCGTGTAGTACTCCTTGCTCATGATTTCTCTGGTCATCTCTTCCGGCAATTGAGAGAAGGGGCCGTTAGGGTCAATTTGGGTTCGATGACAATTGAGTGACGCGATTTTGATGTCAACGTACGTGCCAACGTCAAGGGTGGTGGTAACCTCCTCGTCCGGTGTTCCCACCAAATCCACGTCTTGGCTGGCGAAGGGCGGAGTAATGTCCATTTCCACCATCTGGCGCCACATTCTTTGGAAGTTGCTTCGAGGGAAGCAAACGTAGTAGAGAAGAAAGGAAGCCTGGTCATCCTTGCCTTGCGTCGACTGCAGGGATTGCCCCTTCTCATCGGCAGCCAGTTTAAATGCCTCTGTAGTGTGTTGACAGACAGCGCGGTGATCGGGATGCCCGTATCCGCCGGTGGGGTCGTGCGTAATCACGATGTTGGGCCTTGTCTCTTTGATAATGTCCCTGAGTTGGGCAATGACGGTTGCGGCGTATGCCTGATTGAGGGAATCAGGGTGTTCGTTTTCCTCGGTGCCGGCCATGCCCGAGTCGCGATAGTTCAGGAAACGAACGTCTGCCACTCCCGTAACGTCCATGGCGTCTCGCAATTCCCCTTGGCGGACTTGGGCCAAGGTCTCGGGTGTGGCCAACAATGGATCGCTAATTTCGCCCACATCTCCGTTGGTAGCGCAAACGAGCGTCACCTGCGCTCCTCTGGCAACCAGCATTGCCAAGGTGCCACCGCTGCCGAACCCCTCGTCATCAGGATGGGCGAATGCGGCCAGGACACGAAGTTGCGACAAGTCTCCAAGCACTGAGGTCATTAAGTCTAACTCCTGGTAGTGATGGTTATTCCGCTTGGAGGAGCTATCAGACCGGTTCAAGAACTAGATTACCAAAGGGGTCCACACAGCCCCCCCAGCCAGGCGGTACTACGACAGTTGTGTCCAATTGCACCAAGAGAGCGGGCCCTTCGACGTAGTTGCCCGCTGAAAGGAGATCCCGGTCAAATAGGGCGGTAGGCAGAGAACCTTGTTGAAACACCACGGTTGCCTCCTCAATGCGGGCTCCGGATGAATCTGGTTCTCCCAATGGCTGTGGGACGATGTTGGGCTTTTCCACTTCCAACTCCAGCTTGAGCCGAAGGTTGACGATCTCCACAGCTTCGTTCCGGTCGGCGTAGCCGAATCGTTGCAAATGGGCCCGATAAAAGCTATTGGCTATGGCCCGTTGCAAGTCGGTTCGGCGAGTGGCCGATGGGTAGTCAATTGTTAGCTCGAAAGATTGCCCAACGTAGCGGGCGTCCAGGTAACGCCGGGCAATCATGTCTGTTGCCGGCAGTCCTTCCTGTTGCAGTTCCCGCCTTGCCTGGCCTTCCATGCCATGAAACTCTTCATCCAGGCGGACTTGGTTGATATCTTCCCCTCGCAACATGGCGGTACGGGAGTAGTCCTTAACCACGTCCGCAATGGCGACGCCGAGGGCAGACAAGATGCCGGGATGCGTGGGAATCAGTATTCGGGGGATTCCCAACTCCTGCGCCAGTTCGCAACTATGCATGGGGCCGGCGCCACCAAAAGGCACCAGGGTGAACCGACGTGGGTCGTAGCCTCTTTCCAGCGAAATTGTGCGGATGGCGCGTTCCATGTTTGCGTTAACTACACGGATAATGCCCAAGGCGGCCTCTTCCGGAGTAGATCCAATCTCGTTGGCCAGTTCCCCAATGAGTCGCAGTGACCGGTCCTTATCCAGCGAAAGTCTGCCTCCCAGGAACTGAGCCGGACGGAGCCTGCCCAATACTAGGTTGGCGTCGGTAACGGTTATATGGTTGCCTTGTCCGTAGCAAGCCGGACCGGGGTCAGCGCCTGCCGACTCTGGGCCGACTACCAAAGCGCCGCCGGTATCAACTCGTGCAATTGAGCCTCCGCCGGCACCCACTGTATGAATCTCTATCATCGGAACGCTTATAGGATAGCCACCCAGGATGGCCGAGGTTGTCTCCTTGATTCGGCCGGGACACAATGAAACGTCCGTGGATGTGCCCCCCATGTCTAGAGTGATGATGTCCGGGTAACCCGCCTCCCGCCCCACGTGGAATGCGCCAACCACTCCGCCTGCCGGCCCACTAAGGATCGTTCGGACCGGCTGTTCTGCGGCGAGGCCCGCAGTAATGCTGCCACCTGAGGACTGCATGACGCGCAGCTCTTTCCCCAGAGACTGCTCCAGTTCACCGAGGTAGCGCGCCATTACGGGCCCTACGTAAGAATTGACCACCACGGTGCTGGTGCGCTCGTATTCGCGAAACTCGGGAATCACCTGCGATGAAATGGAAATGAAGGGGGGATCAGGGAGTCGTCTTAGGGCGTTCAGCACCTTTTCTTCATGCAAGGGGTTCAGGAACGAGAACAGGAAGGAAACGGCTACTCCGTCCACGTCGGCTTCCTGCAAGAGGGTCAATAGAGCGTCAATGGCCTCATTTTGCAGGTCCTCCAGGATCTCTCCCTTGTAGTCCACTCTCTCCGGCAGGCCGAATCGCAGTTCCCAGGGAGCCAGGGCCGGTGGGCGGTCCAGGTTAAAATCGTATAAGTCCGATCGGCTTTGACGGCCAATCTCCAGGACATCCTCAAATCCCAGGGTGGTTATTAGCGCCGTTCGACCGCCTTTCCCCTCAAGGAGGGCATTGGTGGCTACCGTGGAACCGTGGACGTAGTCTGCCTCGCCGACGTCAATTTCAGAGATGCCGCGGCGTACCCCTTGCGAGGGATCCGCGGGAGTGGACGGGAGCTTGTGGACTGAAAGGCTGCCATCCCGAAGAATGGCGATGTCGGTGAAGGTTCCGCCGACATCAATACCCACGATGGTTCGCGTCATATTAGCTCTTGCTTCAAGGAATCCGTGGCCCGAGGCTCTATTCTTCAGGCCGAATAATCATTCATGGGAAGTCGGGGAGTTCAGGAATATGAGTGTGGTACGTGCAACCAGATGCTTTGGGCTAGATAAAAAGCCCTAGTCCACCAAGGCAATTCGCAGGCGTTTGTTTATGCGACCCTTGCTCTCGTGTCCAACCACCCTTATACCGCCCACCTCAGATGTGTTGGCTACGTGGGTTCCTCCGTCAGCCTGCAGGTCCAGTCCTGATATATCGATCGTCCGGACCTTCTGTATGTTGGGAGGAAGCAGGTTGATCTTGGTGCGTATGAGATCAGGCACTTGCTCTGCTTCTGAACGGCTGAGGTTGTGGACATGTATCGGCCGGCTGGCGGCGACTTCGGCATTGATCTTTTCTTCCACTTCGCTGGCGAACTCGGCGCTCATCTGTTCAAGTTCAAAGTCCATACGGGCTTCGCCGGGCCGCATATCACCACCGGTTACCTTGGCCCCGTAGTCTCGCCACACCACACCGCACAGTATGTGGAGAGCAGTGTGCGTCCGCATGAGCCGATATCGAGTTTCCCAGTCTATTCGCCCTGTAACAGATGCACCTACATTGGGCAGCGCCCCATCGATTCGATGGACTATCTTTCCATCAGAGCGGCCTACTTTCTTGACCACGTAACTCTGATTGCCATCGTTCAGAATTCCGGTATCACAAGGTTGTCCCCCGCCGCCAACAAAAAAAACAGTGCGATCCAGGACCACTCCGCCGTCAACTACATCTATGACTGTGGCGGAAAATTCCTGGGTATAAGCGTCTATCTGGGCCAGCAACTCTGTCATGGTCGGTTTGTCCTGTATCCTGAGTTTGAAACTCGTCCAGCATTATAGCAGATGTGTTGCTATACACGTTCCATTCCAGGTTGGAGAAGACATCGTAATCAGGGTCTGGCCAACGGGGGTAATCGAAGTGAACAAGAGTGAGGATTGACCATTGCTGACACCCGCCCTTTCCCTTAATTGCCCTTAATGTCATATAATTGCTTGTGATCTTAATAATTGGTTGCAATTGAACCTCGGCCGATTGATAAAGGCCAAACCCCGATAATCTGTAATTTCAGGTGACCTTCCAATGAAACTCTCCTGCTTGCAAGAAAACCTCAGCCGTGGACTCTCCGTCGTCGGAAGAGCGGTTGCCAGCCGGGCTACGTTACCCATTACCCAGAACGTTCTTCTGGAAACCGACAGGTCGATGCTCAAATTGTCCGCCACCAATCTGGAAATTGCGATAACCACCTGGATTGGGGCCATGATTGAGGATGAGGGCTCCATTACGATTCCGGCTCGACTGTTGACAGAGTTCGTTAACTCCCTGCCCAGCGACCGGATTGACCTGGAACTGGAGCCGGGAAGTGGCGTAATGCGGCTGGTTTGCGGTCGGGCGGAAGCACGCATCCACGGAGCCAATGCCGACGACTTTCCTCCAATACCCCAGGTGGAAGAAGGGGTTTCGGCCCGAGTGGGCACACAAGACCTGAAGTTGGCAATTTCGCGGGTGGTGTTCGCGGCGGCGACTGAAGAGTCTCGCCCGGTACTGACCGGCGTAGAGGCAAAATTGTCCGGCAATCGATTCACGCTTGCGGCTGCTGACGGCTTCCGATTGGCAGTGCAGCACGGCACGCTAGCCGAACCGGTTGAAGCGGATATTGGTGTAATAGTTCCGGCGAGGACCCTCAACGAATTGAGTCGACTCCTTGGAGAACAAGATGACCCAGTGGAAATCATGATGGTACCGGCCCGCGGGCAAGTGCTGTTCAAAGTCGGCGGCATAGAGGTGGTGTCCCAGTTGCTTCAGGGTACTTTCCCGAACTATGACCAGCTCATACCTCAGAATTTCGATAATCGCAGCGTTTTTGATCTTCAGAAGCTGCTTCGGGCGACCCGAACGGCAGCTATTTTCGCCCGCGACGGTAGCAACATCATCCGGATGCAGATGGTGCCGGGTGAAGAAGAAGGAGCAATTGGCAAGGCCGTGATCTCTGCTAAATCGGAAGAAGTGGGGGAGAACCAGGGAGAGGTTGACACCGAAACCATCGAGGGCGGCGAGTCAAAGATTGCTTTCAACAGCAAGTACCTTCAGGAGGTGTTGACTGTCCTGGACCGGGGGCAGGTAGCGTTGGAAACTACTACCTCATCCAGCCCTGGCGTATTCAAACCCATTGGCACCGACGACTACGTGCACGTAGTCATGCCGATGTTTGTTCAATGGTAGTTACTTAAGGGTTCCAGATTGCACTTAGATCGACACGGTTCTCTTTCGTCCGGCATCTGGACCCGAGCCCGGAACCATCAACTTGGACGGTTCGAATCACATTGGCTGCTGATTCGGTGGCTTTTATTCTGCTGCCAAGGCTATCAATCGCCTTCTTTTGGGTAACTGCAAAGAAGCTCACCCCTTAGTGGAAGTAACCCGCGTGCCTTCGGCAACGGAAGGGATAGATGTGGGGGCTAATCGCAAACGTTTCATATTGGATCAGACTACGTCCGATTTTGTACAGACGAGCAAGTAAGTGCTTTTTTACCCCGGCCTGCCGCATACCGTATCCTCGTTTCCCATCGAACGATTCGCCGCCAATGCACCCTCGTTTCATTCAGCCAATGCCATTATTTTCTATCTTGACTGAGTGATCCCATCCCTTACTTTTCTACATCTTTGTCCACAGTTCGCCTGGCTCCAGTTCCTGGCATCTGTCTTGCCCTCCCTCATTGAAATGTTGGCTATCGTGAACTTGGTCCCCGCGATGTTAGACTACAGTCGATCGACAGGCTGACGAGTTATCCACTTAAGACAGTACGCCAAGAGTAGGCAATCAAGGAGAATGGTATCCAATGCTGCAGCCCGACGCTCTCCGCCGAACAGCCCTCATTTTGGTGTCTGTAGGCCTCGCCTGGAATTTGATTGAGGCAGGTGTAGCTTTCTGGGCAGGTGCGCAGGTTGGGAGCGTGGTCCTGTTGGCTTTTGGCGCGGATAGTGTTATAGAGCTATTTGCCGGTGGAGTCCTGGTGTGGCGGCTGAAAAGTGAGCGGGACGGACATGACGACGAGGCTGCGGAAAAGAGAGCACAGAGGCTTTTGGGGCTCACCTTCTTTTTGCTGGCCGCTTATGTTGGAGTTCACTCCGTGGCCAGCCTGTTGGGTTGGGTTTCTGAGCCTCAGCCGAGCCTCGTAGGTGTTGGTATCGCCGTAGCGAGTCTCGTCGTGATGAGCGGCCTTTACGTAGCCAAGATGCGCGTCGCCACCCGATTACAGTCTCGCTCGCTAAGAGCGGAGGCCATGGAAAGCCTGTTTTGCGACCTTCAGGACGTGTCCATATTGATAGGGCTGGTGTTTAATGCTTTGCTAGCTTGGTGGTGGGCTGACCCAGTCGCGGCCCTGATCTTGATCCCGTTCTTCATCAAGGAGGGAAGGGAGAATTTTTCCGGTGAGGAAGACGAAGATGAGGAAGAGGCACGCCAAGTTTGCTTTTGCCCAAGCTGCTTCTTCGGCCTGTTGACCTGTCGTGCGGCATGCTGCCATGAGTAACCGCCGTAGGTATGTCAATTTGAATTAAGGGTCATGGCCTTCGTCGGGATGTCCCAAATCTCACCGAACAAAATCATCCAGCCTAAGCACCAAACTTGAACGGCATAACTCGGCGCATTAGCAAGAAACTCTATTTTTAAGTAGACACTTCGGCTATTGCAAGGTTCTTGCGTTTAGAAAAAATTTATTCCTGCCCGATACCTGGACCAAAGTTCCAGGATATCCCCGGGGTTTCGGCGGGTCGCCGTGACTGCAACAGGCTAATCGTCGACAGAGTTGTTGCCTGGGAAGCATTTATCGGCCAGTTTGGGCCAACCCTTTCCAGGCCAGAGCGCACAAAGAGGATAGACCATGACGCTAACCTTGGTTCGTGGAAAATACGTGGTTTGCAAAGTTACCGGTTCGGATTCCGCGATTGTTGTTACGGATGGTGGGGTCCTGGTTAATGACGGCGAAATAGAAGTGGTAGGCGACTACAGGGAACTCAGCGAGCAAAATCCCGACGCCGAAATAATCGGCTCCACCCATCACCTGGCTATGCCGGGTTTAGTCAATGATCACTTTCACGTCGGGCTTGCCCCATTCCAGATGGGGGCACCCGATTTGCCCCTGGAAATGTGGAGTCTGGCTCGCATTGGCACCCGAATTATCGACCCCTATTTGGACCAGCTATACGGGGCCATCCAGATGATTGAAACGGGTACCACCACGGTGCAGGCGATACATTCTCCTGGCCGAGGATATGGGCCCGTTAGCATGGAGATAGCAGACAAGGTGGTTAGCGCGTACCAGACTTCCGGTATGCGGGTTTCTTACGCACCTTCCGTGGTGGACCAGAACTCCATGGTTGCTGGCCCTGGTGGCGGGGAGGATGACTTTGCGGCTCAACTGCCTCCGGAACTTGCAGAACGATATCGATCCCTCATGGCCCCTAGCTATTGGCCGGTTTCGGATGTGATTCCTGTCCTGGATGAGATTTGCCGGAAGTATGGAAACAACAAGCATGAGCGTGTGCGAGTTACTATGGCGCCCAGCAATGTGCATCGATGTTCTGACGAATTGCTCATTGCCCTTAAGCAACTGGCGAACCGGTATAGCACCGGCATTCACATTCATCTCCAGGAAACCGTTTACCAGAAACTCTACGGTTATCGGGCCTACGGCAAGACTCCCCTTCAGCACCTGCACGACCTGGGCTTTCTGGGCCCGGAAGTGACATGCGGCCACAGCGTATGGGCCACTGAAGAAGATCTGCGATTGATGGCGTCCACCGGGACCAACATTTGCCACAATGCCAGCTCCAACCTGCGACTGCAAAGCGGAATTGCTCCCATGGGCCGTATTCTGGCAGCCGGCATCAAGGTTGCGATTGGCAGCGATGAGGCAGGCCTCAACGACGACAAGGACCTCTTCCAGGAAATGCGGCTGGTACTCAAGTTACATCGGGTTCCTGGAATAGACCTGCAACCGCCTACTTCGTATCAGGTGCTGGAAATGGCGACGGTCAATGGGGCTTACACCAGTTGGTTTGGTGACCGGATTGGCACCCTTGAGCCGGGGAAACGAGCCGACATGGTGCTGCTGGACCTACATAATATCGAAGAGCCTTACCTTGACCCCGAGGTTTCTGTGGTAGATGCCTTGGTGCACCGGGGGAGGGGCATCGACGTTGACACGGTCCTTGTGGATGGCGAAGTGGTCTTCCGTGACGGTCGACATACTAGGGTGGACAAGCCGGACCTGTTCAAGGAACTAAAGAAAGCTCTTGACAGGCCACTATCTCCCCGTGAGTTGGACCGGCGAGAACTGGCCCGGTTGGTGGAGCCTTACTTGCGTGCCTTTTACCGGGGAACTGTTCCCGACGACGGCGCCCCTTTCACAAAGTACAATTCCCAGTCCTGAAGGAGTGCATGGGCCTTCCATTTCCCTGGTTTTGGAGGCTGTCTGTGCATATACCGGCAAGCCTATCGAATTGGTGTTTCATTGGGAACATTTTCGAAGATTCTTCTATAAGCCCTTCTTCCTGTTCCTTCGTGGACCAAAGCGCGCCAAGTCCAACGACAACCGGCACTAGACGGTCCCTGTAACCCCCCCCTCCTACTATGTTCTAAGTGATCCCTCCTTTGTAATACCGTTTGCCCTTTCCCTTCTCCGGCTAGCCTGTGGCAGAGGATATATGAACGAAAATGGGCGGAAATGGAGAGGAAATTGTTTTTCTGCCCACACTCATGTTCCGGTCAGTTGTTGACCGAATTTCGGTGGGCGAAAATAGGCGAAAATGGCAGGAGAATCTTTTTCTGCCCTACCCCGGCGTGGGCCCATACCGTCCGGGAAAGCCATGCCCTTGAAATGCGATTACCCCGGAGGCACCGGCTGGATGACAGCTATCGGCCTTGGTGTTAGAGTAAGCTCGCATTGACCGAAAGGTTCAAATACAACGGGAAGGGAGACTGACTAATGACTATCGACGCAGCCACCGGCATAGCTCGAATTTTGAAACAAGAAGGGGTGGAGTGGGTTTCCACATTCCCAGTTTGCCGGGTAAACAACGCCCTCGGTCGGGAAGGTATTCCTATTCTCATGATGCGTGACGACCGCTATGCAGTAGCCGTGGCCGACGCCTTTTCCCGCATTACTGCCGGGCGCCAGATAGGTGTTTGCACTTTCCAGGGGGGTGTAAATGCCGCGGGTATGCAGTATGCGTATGCTGGTATGGCCCAGGCGTTCGAGGACGGTTCCCCGGTGCTGTGCATCACCGATGGCATCCCTGCGGGGAGTTCCGAAAACACTCAGTTTGATGTTTTCAGAAGTATGACCACCGTTTCAAAGTGGTTTGGCTATATCGACCGGCCGGAACGGGTCCCAGAATTCATGCGGCGAGCCTTTACCCTCCTGAGGAGCGGCCGGCCGGGGCCCGTCATCCTGGCTGTTCCAGACCCTACCGGCACTTACGATGAAACGGCCGACCCCTACACTCCCGTGAAGGGTTGGAAGCACGGACCGGCGCGGGAGGATGTGGGCATGGCGATAGACCTGCTCACTCAGGCCCAGAAGCCCCTCATCTATGCCGGAGAGGGCGTAATTTATGCCGGTGCTTCTGAAGAACTGGTTTCCCTGGCTGAGATGGCTAACGCACCGGTGGTTACTACCCTGAAGGCAAAGGGCGCCTTCCCCGAGAATCATCCTCTGTTTGTCGGTGTCCGGGGTGGTCAGGTTACCAACTATTTGAACGACAGTGACTTGATCTTCGCGGTAGGCACAAGTCTTTCGCCCGGCAGGTTTAGTCACCGGATTCCCAACGCTGTTGGAAAGACAATCGTTCACTGCGACGTCGATGATCTCCACATCAATAAGGTTTACCCCACTGCCCAGGCCGTCATTGGCGATGCCCGTCAATCCTTGCAAGCGTTGACCGAAGAACTGTCCACGCGCCCCGTCCAGTCCGTTAGAGCGCGGGAAGATGTTGCACTCGAAGTCAGGAACGAGCGAGATGCCCGGGATGGCCCCGTACCGGGAAGCTATGGCCTCAGACGACAAGCCCATTAATCCTTACCGGGTATACGCGGGCTTGATGGAAGTGTTGGACCCCTACAACTCTTTCATAACTCACGAATCCGGTAATACCCGCGACCAGCTCAGTACGATTTACGACACCCTGGTACCACGGGCATTCCTGGGCTGGGGTAACGTTTCAACGTTGGGCTTCGGTTGGGCTGCTTCCGTTGCTGCGAGAATGGCAGACCAAAATCGCCCTGCGGTAACCGTAACCGGCGAGGCGGGACTGGGCTACATGCTGGGCAATTTGGAAGTTGCCCTGCGCCAAAACCTGGGCGTTACCGTGGTTCATATCAGTAATGGCGGCTTTGCCGGTTACGGTCCCGGTTTCTGGGGGCCAGGCCACGACCCCTTCACCCACTCCGTCCTGGGCCCGGATGACGTTGATATGTCCAGGGTGATAGGCGAATTGGGCTTCCACACCGAGCGGGTTTCGGAGCCTTCGGAAGTGGAACCCGCGCTGCGTCGCGCCTTGGAGGTCAATCAGTCCAACCGGCCAGCCTACATCGAATTCCTTTGCAGCCAATTTCCTGTTTACGGCGAGTGGGTAGGGCGATAGATAACGTAACAAGCTCGCTTGCTCCTGGAAGTTCTTTTCAAAGTGATTGGTTAGGCGGGCCGCTCCTCAGTCCCAGAGCCGAAGCCAACAACAAAGCTAAACACAAAGAAGAATACGCGGCTAACCGTTCAAGGCGGCTAGTCGCGTATGCGTCACTTGGTGCTTCGGTTGTACTCCTTGCTTGGCCTCCCTCTGTATGCTTGGCTTTCCCTTTTCGGATCCCTGCTAGAAAGGACCGCGAGTTCTCCCAAGAGTTGCCATGGCAGAGCTTCGACTTCTCATGTGCCCTTTGTGAGCAAAATTACAGGTTGCTGTGGTTGGTTCTCGCAATGGTTCGTGCTTCCTCACACTAATACCTCGTAATGGGTGGGAAAAGCGAATGAAAATGGTCTATACTAGGCCAAACCTGAAAGGGCATTCAGGTTTCCTCCATCCAGGGGAAGAATAGCCTGGTTCATTTGCCCGGTCTTGTTCGGAGGGAATGATATTCCGATGAGACTTCCCTTCTACGAATTTGGACGCAGGGCAGTGTTGCCTCTCCTGTTGATTGGGGCCTTGGCCGGTTTCGTCCTGCTTATTAACTTCCTCGGCTCCCTCACTGCTTCCGGCCCCGATGACCTCCTGGCTTCCAAGCCTGCCTCAGGGGACTACTTTACCCTGCCCAGCAGCGCCCAGATGTTTCCTTCACCGTCACCGCAATGGGACTGGTGGTCGCAATTATTTTGCTGTCTACACTTTTCCACTGGTCACAGCCAGGGCGGCGTGGCCGTCTCCTCCGGTTCCTCATTTACGTGCTGGTCTCGGTAGCTGCTGTCGGTCTCTATTATTATCTTCTGCCCACTTTTGACCAGGCAGTTGTTGGCCCAGGAGTTGGGGAGCCTTTTCTGGCAAAGCGCATTGTGGATACAAAATGGGTGGTGATGCTAACCTGCTTCTCCTCCCTGGCCCTGGTAGGCGTATTTGCCCCTCGATTGCTTCCCATAGTGTTGGTGGTTTGGTTGGCATATGGCCTAATCTTCGGATTGTTTGACTACTCTCGACTTCAGGACCTGGGCCTCGTCAACCAGCCTGAACAAATGCAGGTGTCCGCCGCTTTTGCAGCTGAAGTCGAAAAGTATCGTGACCAGAGTTCGGAATCTGACTTTGGGGAAGCAATAGCCAAAGACGGCGGCCCATCCGACCGGAGCATCGAGTCGCCTTTGGAACCTGACTCACTTCTCTTTGTGGGGCCGCGTGTAATTGCCGAGCCCTCTCCGGCCCGCATCGCAGAACAACAGTTCATCGTGACCGGGGCTGAACACACGACGTTGCTGCGTACCGCTACGGGTGACGTGTATCGGAATGGCGCCTGGGCACAATTGGATCCCGTAGCTTTCGAAGCGAGTGCCGGATCTGATCTGCCAGCGCAGACTATGGCTCTGGTCGATGAAGGGATAGGTGTCAATCTTTCCGACGAGACCGGGACTGTTTCGGAGCTGTCCTACAAGTTTGAGGAGGCAGAACTTCTGGTTGGACCTGACTCGTCTTTAGGTGATGCCATTGAGGAGTTCATCATAGTCTCTCCGGCTCCCCAATTTGAACATCTTGATCAGGGTGTCCTGCCAGTTCCCGCGCTACCTCGCCAAGTAGGGCTTACGGGGGAATGGAGTCCCTTCAGTGGGACCTTCGTTACTTCTCATTCGGCAACGAGTAACCAGTCCCTTTCCTTGGTAACAACGTTCAGTGAGAGCGAGTTGTCGAGTGTGGAGCCTGTCCAGGGCCCTGCCTATTTGGCCTTGCCTAAAGACCTGCCGGTACGTGTTGCGCAGCTGGCAAGTGAAGTCACTGCTGGCCTGGAAACACCTTACGCAAAGGCAACAGCCATAGCCGATTTTCTCAAGACCGAATATTCATTGGTCACTCTGACATCGAACAACACTTCCTTTCAGGCTCCTGTAAATGCAGATCCCGTTGATTGCTTCTTGTTTGACCACTCCGCAGGCAGGTCTTCCACCTTTAGCAGCGCCTTCGTTATTTTGGCCAAGGCGGTCGGGGTGCCTGCAAGAGTCGTTGCCGGGTGGTCCATAAATCCGACTTCAGAGGAGCAGGCGGTAACTTCCGGTCAAGCTCATCAATGGGCTGAGATAGGGCTGAAGGGAGTTGGCTGGGTTACTTTCGACTTGGTACCCAACGAACTGGTGGATACTTTGGGGGCTGCTTCGGCAGGCGTTGAGGACGTAGACGGCTCTGCTACCGAGCAGAAGGGCGAAGCAGAGAACGAGTCAGGCTTAAAAGAAAAAGCCTTAGCCCGAATCCACCGAATGAGTGGGGTTTAAGGTGTGGTGAAAGCCTGAAAGGTGCTCCG